CCGCCCCCGCCCCCTTTAACCTCCGTCATACCTACATGTCTCACGCCTCACCTCCACTCGTCAACGACCCCCCATCCCCCCTCTGCGTGCCTCTTGGTACTCTCGACGAGGAGGCGGCTCGATTTTTCCATTATTTTCCGCATTGAAAAATCCCCCGGTGATGTAAAAGATAATGAAAAAGTACACGTGAACTTTGAATGATTGAGCTTTTGATGGTCAAAAACTTGAAAGCCACGTTGAAGAGGCAGGGGGTCAGAGCTTGTCTAACCGGGGCTTAGAAAGGGACGCAAGAGGGGAGGGGGTCAAGCCCTGTCTTATAGAAGCCACCCTTTGATATTTTTCAATATTTTGCTCTGTTCAGGGAATACAGGGTGCGAGTAAAAAGGAGGTGAAAGCTCGGAGAAAATCGAGTCAAAGGTTTGACTCGATTTAGGATCAGTTTAATGGCGGCTTTTTGACCGACTACATATCAATAGTCAAAAAACAAAAACACGTATCTCCTTTGAGGTGTTTCCAAATTTCCGCTCCTATTTTATTTTTTCGAAGAGAAATAAGTAATCTTTATAGCTTAAAATTCATACTAATATTCTGATAATAGAGGAGAGAAATCAAAGAAGTTTTCAAGAATTTACGTTCACTAGTTTCTTGAGGAAAAGATAAAATAGGACAGGAAGTCTGCAACGTCGCAAACGGAAGTACGTGTGGTTTTGCACTTTAATCGTCGATATTTACCCTCGTTTTTCACACATTTACGTTTCAATCTTTTTTTTATAATTTTGGCATAACATTGTTCTCCCAAATGGGTAAAAAATGATTTTAAAATAAGACTACGCACGGTACAAACCTATTTTCCTCCAACACATACTGTTCTCTTTTTGACAGCAGTATCATTCATAACAATTTTAAAAAAAAAACGTCCTCGCAGACTAAGCAATTAGAATATTTTTTACAGAAATAGCAAGGACAGTGGGATCGTTTTTGATAAAAACAATTTTACCACAGCTCTGGAACCGCACTGGAACCGGGAGTTACCTGTCAAGATCTTAACTCACGGCTGGCGATCATCCGAGTATTCGGACGCAGTTGCACATATAAGAGAAGGTAATTTAATTCATTCCATTTGCTATCCATCTTAAATCAGAATATCGATGCCTAATTGCAAAACGGCGTATCTCTATTGCGGTGTTCGAAAATTTTTGCTCCTACCCTATTTTTTTTGGAAGAAAACAAGTCATAACTTTATAGTTTGAAATTTCTGCGGAATATTCCGCTAATAATGACGAAACATCAAGGAAGTTTTCAAGAAATTAATTTTGCTCGTTATTCGAAAAAAAAAATGAAGTGCAACAGGAAGTTTGTAACGTCGCAAATGGAGATACGTGCATTCGCACTTTGGTCATCGATGTATACATTTTTTAAAGATGGACTCAGTTTCTTGGTGGTGGAAATTATTCTCCTTTCCTTGGAGTCTGCCCGCAGAGAGGTAAAAGTTTAGAGTAAATTAAGATCTAAATGACTTCTCTATACAATAATTGCAAGAATCTTGAATCCTAATGAAGAGCCAGATAATCTCATGTCTGCAAACTCCGAGTGTCAACAGGCAGTTTGCTGGACCAAATTTCGAAAGAAATCTCATCATTATAAAACCAATTTATGCTCGTCACGTATTATCATAATTAATATTCATAAGTAATATTCTACAGAAAGTGGGTCAAATTACAATGTGTTTCAGACCTGATAATTAGTGATCAAACTTAAAGTGCGTGTTATTTTGTACAATTTTATTCGATAAAAAAATCTTTACTTGTCTTTTGAGAACATTTTAAAAATGAACGTATTTTACTGCTGCAACATTTTTTTGTCTTTACTGATAAAAGTATATTTAGAAGTATATGAGCTTTTATGATATGATAATCAAACCCGTTTTAACTATGTTTCAGAATATTTAAACACAACAAATTTAAACATAGTGACGGTAGACTGGTCACGAGTGGCATCTAATATCATATATCCAATAGCAGCCGTGCAAACGTTTCAAGTAGGAGTACAGATAGGTGAAATGATCGACGGAATGATCGCAAAGCGCATGATGACTCTTGATAAAATTCATATCATCGGGCATAGTCTTGGAGCCCACGTCGCTGGAGCTGCTGGATCTAACTGTAAAACCGGCAAAGTCTACAGAGTCACAGGTAGGATTGCGCGTGTCTTTCCATGTGTCATGAATGTCGTGTGTCCGGGTGCGGTTACTTGGACCGGAAACTTTAGTATTTCGTATGGAAACTGAGGGGCTCAGAGGACAAGTAGGATAAGCGTAGTTTTTGCTATTTCAAATAATACGTTTTGAAAGTTACAAAATTACATGAAGCCTTAGGGTGGTAAGGAAATTCGAACCCACTATTTGATGCTCAAGAATTGGATTGGTGAATTTTTCACAGTGTATACTTTAAAAATGGTGGTAGTTGAAAGCATCAGTATCTCAATTTTTTGAAAAACTGCACTTACACCAGTTTTCCTCCAAGCCCCTCAACAGAAAACTTTCTAATTATAGAATTCAGCTGACTCAATTAGAGATGTGCCAATAGCCTAAATATCTCAGAGACCAACTCAGTTAATTTCTGGCAAAAAACATAAACAACAAAAAGTGAGATTTGGGGAGTCACAGAGATGAAAATTATACTGCTGCAAGATAATAAAATATCACGGGAAAGTGAGGATTATTTGATTATTTTAAGCTCTGGAAAGTCAGGATAAATGCACGACAATACAAATCTATACCTCAAAACCTGTGTTGGGGAAACATCAATTTGTAATGAGAGGAACCCCTATGATTAAATTTGCGAAGCAATATTTACTCTGAGACTCACTTTCACAAATCAAGCCATCTCATTTCGTGGTAACGCCAGTGGCGTGGCGTGCTTTGCGATATATCGACTGTTATGTCATTTAAACCTATGGAATAGGATCGATAAACAGGGTGTTGGCAGCGAACACCTTCATAATCGATTCTTTACCACAGGTATAAGTGGCATAATAATCGATATATCGCAATTCACGCCACGCCACTGGGTAACGCTCATTTTCTTCTTGGTAAACTTGAGATATAAGTTGCTTGAGGGTTGGGAACCCTGATTCATCTTGGCAATAACCTCCGCAATCCCATAACTGAACATATCTGGACGTGAAATATATATCGGCCATAAGTGGACTGTCAATTAATTTCACGCTCAAAGTTTATTTGGTTTCCCGGTTGTTTACGGAGCAGGATTGGATCCGGCAATGCCTTGCTTCGAAGGTATTCAAAGCGCAACAACTCGCCTCGATTTGACGGATGCGGAATTTGTTGACGTCATACACACAGCAGCCGGCACAGCTGGATACTACAGTTCCATAGGTCACGCCGATTTCTACCCCAATGGCGGAACTCCTCCTCAGCCGGGATGCTTCGACGCGCCTTTGGACTTTCAAGCCACATGTAAGATTGTAAGAATCCTTACAAGAATTGTCTCTGTTTCCTATTCTGAGCAGTTTGTCCATGGGTAATTGGACCGCGTTTAACAGAGAGGAACCAAGCCACATCAGCTATGGCCAAATTTAACTGGGCAATTTAATTTTTTTACGAGGAAACGTTTGTGCGGATTCTTTCGAAAATTTTAAGGTATTCGCTTCGCACTAGGGAGAAAATTCCCTGAAATTTGCATGGAAATCTGCACCACCGTTTTCATGTGAAAAATTAAATTGCCCAGTTAAATTTGGCAATAGCTAATGTGGCTTGGTTCCTTTCTGTTTAACGCGGTCCAATTAAGACTTTTGTGGTTCATATATTTGACGGGTTTCTGATCGAATTCACGATATGGTTTCAATCCTGTTCTGTATTAAATGCTGGACATTGTATTGGTGTGCGCGCGCGTGTTTGTGTGCGTCATGTACGTGGGAGAAAAATGAGCAATTAGTTATTTGTCTCTCCACGGGTTCTCCTTTCAACACCCGCACGTGACCGTTCGCGAGAAAAAGAATCGAAGTCCGCGTAGGCAAAATGTTCAGGGGAGTCATTTTTGTCAAATCCGGCCGAAAAATTAGATTCTGCGAATTTGACCAAAAACTTTTGCAAGTAGCCGAAAAAATGAGGTGCAAGCGATTAGTTTATTTGTGAGTCAACAGAGATCGCAAGATTATGATAGAACTGGCAAGTTTTGCCCCAATTGTGACGGATTAGAATTGTAAGATTTTCCTCGGAACTAGGTCTTTTGAAATGCGAGCGTTAGATTGCTGAAACTCTCGTTTGGCTCGACATTCTAGGCATATCATGTCCCAAAATGTTTGTAAACCACATTCTCAACCCTCAGATGCCCAGGCCGGATCCAACAGGACCGAGACTTGCTAGAATTATGCGGCTTCCGGGTTGTTTAGGGCGGCACAAAAAAACCTCAGATATAGGTCTACAAATACATCGTAAAAAAAAAGAATCGCACATTCAATTGAAAGAGAACAAAAAAATCGAGTGTCAACATGGCCGAAGATATGACAGACGTAACCGGGCCTCATTTCTGAACGTTTCTCCCGAATCTGAGTGACCCTTCATTGGCGGTATAAGTGGAGCATTGCGAATTCACGGCTCGCGCCATCGCGCCTTCAAATTTGTAGCTGCAACACGGACATCCATCAAGTACGAATAGTCGTATCCTTGCGCCGTTGTCAACGCGCATCCTTTCTATTGCTTTATTTTTCTGTTGTATTGTTTCTGTTTGTCTTATGTTTGTTGGTGCTTTAAGGGCTACGTGGACAACACATATTCATCCTGTGTGTAGATGTAGGAGAGAGAGAGAGAGGGGGGGGGGCAGATTTAAAAGAGTACACAGAGACTTTCACTGATAAAAAAATACTGTTCAATTAGGATTTTTTTCTTATGGAGTAAGTATGGTATCGTCGGTTCAGAAGTATTAAAGGTGATAAAGACGCGGCAAGAAGAAGGAAATAGGATTCAGAGACGGAAGCACGAAAATAATTAAAAACAGCAAGAGTACAGAAACTCGAAGTCATATTCATAAAATCGTACTAATTTGATCAAAACTATTGATAATGTAATTGTATATTATCGAAATTATTTTTTGTCCACTCTTGATTTTTTCTTATTTATATTTCAAGTTGTAAACATTAACAAAATTTACGGCTTTGAATGGCATTAATGCATTTTGAAATAAAGAAGGAGATTTAATTAAAATATGGGTATACAAGGCTAAAAAATTATTGAGACACTAAAAGGCAGGACGTTTCGAGCTGTTACCAGCTCATTTTCAGCTGCAAAAACACATAAAAACAAGTAAAAAATTGAGAAATGTCCTGCCTTTCAGTGTTTCAATAATTTTTAAATAAATCTCCTTCTTTATTCGCATATTCGGGCTATGTTTTTGTGCTTTATCGTTGCATTTTGAAATAAAGTTTACTCATTAATGTCATTAACTTGAGATGAAAAGAAACATCGCAACAGGGCCTCAACTTGAAATCCGACGAAAGACTTGACGAGGACAGCGCGAGGACTACCACGCGAAAACAGAATCGTAACTTAAGTAAAATCAACACAATGGAAGCTTATGGCATTTCCTCTGAAAGCTGTGTAATTGTGTTTTGTTTCGTATAGCTTGCGCCGGGAATATATCTTTATTAGATTTCCTTACGGCAAAGCGATAGAAACACGTTTCACTACCCCGACCCCCCCCCCCCCCCCCCNCCGCCGCAAGTCTTACTATGCCGCTCCTCCGTGCAGCCTCACCACCCACCAGTGGCGAGGCGTGAATGCTCGATTTTTCTCCATTAGAAACTATGGTAAAGAATCGATTAATGAGGCGTTCGATACGAATATCCTGTTTATCGATTCTTTTCTATAGGTTTAAATGGCAGACCAATCGATATATCTCAAAGCACGCCGCGCTACAACCACCCACCCGTTCCCAGTTAATATTGATTCTCCTTTGAATACGCGTATACCTCCCATCTTACTCCGATCCCAATTCGCAGCCCCTTGCGCCTCAAATTTCGTCGCTCCTTTGACGTAAGGACGTAGCTCAATTTTTTACTTGAGCCCTGGAAAGCATTGAGTTATATGGATATTAGAGCTCATTTCGAAATGGAATTAAGCCCTTATATCGGAGGGGTGACGGGTTTAACCGCTCGCGTGCCTCACGGCTCCCTCGATAGATGATAATTGCGTTTCGTTTCTGATCGCTCAATAGCGTGGTTTGGAATTCCGTGAATCAGTAGTCTAGAAATAATTGAAGCATTATCTGTTGGAAGTGTAAATAATTAGGCTAACCGCGGAGACCAGGTGACTGATAAAGGGGGAAATTCCGGATAAATAATTGATTATTTAAATTCATGCAAATACCGCTTTATGGAATCTTGAAAGCATTGCCGCCTCTCAATCCGGTTATACTTTCGTAAGATCGTTTAGGGACATCGTTCTTTGTAATGTCGCTTTCACGCTTTTATTGAATTCTTCTGACAAAAATCTAATTTTAATTTATTTATTCCTTTGTTTTTTTTCGGAGCTTCAGTCGTAAAATCCTGTTCACTTGAACTGAAATTGTTGAATTCCCAGAAACGACTCTCCATCATCGACACTACATGCTACTTTACCTACTGTAAAAAAGGAATGAATCCATCAGGATGCGTAATGTTTATGCACCGAGGGATTTCAAAAATCTCTGAAATGAACTCCAAATTTTGAAAAACGAAAATTAGGAATTAAAATCTTAGCAAACGTTTACGTCAAAAAGAACTAAATCTCTTTCTGACGTAAAGATGTAGTCGACATGTTCGGTCATGTCGAACAAGTCGGTGAAACTTCCAAACCACATGTCTCGTTTGCAATGTTTCGAAATATCCGCATTCATTTTATTTTTTAAAAAAAGGACCAAACCACCATTATGGCTTTAGATTTTCAAAGAATATTCTTCACACAGACGAGAAAATTTTTTTTCGGTTTCAAGAATTGACGTTGAGTAGATTTCTGTTAAAAGAAGAAAGTATGACAGGAAGTCTGTAACGCTGCAAACCGAGGAACGTGGTTTGGGATTTTCACCGACGATATTCTCAATTTTAATGTGTTCAGAAGTATAACAATGATGTCTGGGACGCTTGAGAAACCCCGCACTTCATAAAATGCATCGTTTGGTTAGTGAAATTACGTGATACGCTCTCGCTAAATATCCTAGGCTCCCAAGCAGCGATTAAACTCGTTGTTAGGACTACATTCGAGGAATAAATTTGTATCATTCTTGCGAGGCGGTGAATTTTAACGCTGAATAATGAATTTCAGCGAGCTGGAGCCGGAGGCCAGACCCATTCGCGCAAATCTGACGCACCGAACGCGTGTGCACCGAACGTAGTTTACATTTAGAGAGAGGTATGTTTGATTTCGGCAAATCATTGAGATTACACGGAGCTCAAGGCGTGTATAAACACGATAAATTGACAACGACAAGAATGAGAATCGAAATTGAAATTTGATTCAAAGTAAATATCTAGGTCTCCGGTAAGTGGGGCGCGCGGAACGCAACCGTCAAATTCAACAATCACACGGGGCGGAAATCTGGAAAATGCCGTCGGAATCAATCGACAGGGGATTGCACGGATAGACCTAACTCCTGTAGGAACGCTTCGCATATTTGATCAGAGTAGATATTAGAAACGACGCTCTCGCACGGCGTGAAAGCTACTTTGAATAAATCAATCTAAAAGTTGAAATAAAATAAAGAACATTGACAATGAATCCAAAAGTCAAAGATGAAACTATGAAAATATGCATCTTATCGCTAGTATCTTAAAATTCAGCGCTTATTTTATTTTTATAATAAACATATTTTTACAAAAAAGAATCACAATTTTGTCGTGAATTTTTTCAAAAACAGTCTCAATAAAAGGAAGAAGAAAATTTACACACAGTTTCAACGATAACAAGTATGGTTTCTTCTTTGAGAGAATGAAATATGAAAGGGTCTTGGCGAATTGAAATAGGTAGGAACCCCTCCCTCTCATTGAATGCAATTTGTTTATACATACGTATAGATTCACACAACGTTTCTTAACTAGAAGGAAAAATAAAAAATCGCTAGAAATTAAGTTAAAGAGCTCCTGTTTTTCCCGGTATTAATGTATTTTCGTTTATAACAGTTGCTTGCAGTCATTTTAGAGCTCACGAGTTCTATTCGCAAAGTATAACGAACCAAGAAAAATTCAAGGCCTACCGTTCTGAATCGTATTATGCTTACAACAGAGGAGAGTACAATCAAAGTGATTACACGTACATGGGTCATCATACACCATCGAGGTAATTTTACTTAAATTTCAATTTTCTTGAAATAAAATAGTGATGTAAAATGTACAGTGTGTGACAAAATAGAAAATTTCTATAGCTTTGGATTAGCATTTCTTACTAACCATCAAAATACTTCATCGAATAATGTTATCTTTGATTTTGTGAGGTTAGTAAAATACAATTTCTAAACAATTTCTGATGAACATGATTGGACCGCGTTAAACGGAAAGGGACCAAGCTACATCAGCTATTGCCGGTCGAGCATTTCTATGTTTTACATGAAAACGGTTGTGCGGTATTTTGTGCAAATTTCAGTGAATTTTCTCCGTAATACAAAGCAAATTCCTTAACATTTTTAAAGGAATCTGCACAGACGTTCTCTCGTAAAAAATGAAATTTCCCTGTTAAAGTTGGTAATAGCTGATGTGGCTTGGTTCCTTCCTGTTTAACGCGGTCCAATTTTAGAAGACAAAAAGGTCATCTCAAAGATGTTAATCGATAAAACTGATTCAGAGTAGCAAGTCTATCATTGATTATAATTTCTTCCCCTTTCCAATCATATTGTCAATCCGCTGACGTATGGGCGTACCTTAATTTCCACATGAGCCCTATTTTACATATGAATCCTCGTTTTTTGGGGCTCATGCAGTTATCCAGATACGCCCTCACGCCAGAGTAGCGACGATGTATTTGTTGTGTCCCTTCAGTATCACAAAATATCTGTCACATGGCAAGTCTGGGTCGGGCATGGCGATGCGGTTACTGATAATTAGATAAAAGCGTGTTTTGTGTCCTTCTTCTGCCCACCGAACACAATGAATAAAAATGAAGTCGATTATTTCAGCGCGACCACCTGAAAGCTTGTGTTCGTTGTGAATTTTCCGCGCCAGCGGCTGATTCGAATTTTGATGTTCAGTGCTCCTAATTGGGCTCTTTGAGATAACAGATACATCTATTGATTTCATAACAGCGCATGACGTTTTTCCTTTCATCCTTACACCAGCTATGTGCATCTCCATGTCAGGAAAATAACCCGCGTGATTCAGGAGAGCAAAACAAAATTTTCTTTAATAAAGCCTCATATGAGGACTTATCTGTAACAATGGCGGATGTGAAAAATTACCTTTTCGAAACACGCTTAAAAAACTGTTTTGTTCACACAAAAATGTAATATGTTTGGCTCTGGTATAATGTACAGATCTCGAAGATCACATCTCAAGCATTTTCTCACAATTTTCTCGATGCCAAAACATTTTTTTGAATGTGTTTCGAAAAGGTAATTTTTCACATCCGCTATTGTTACAGATAAGTCCTCATATACTGATATATTTATCATTAGCCATTATTACTGTAATAATGCCATCTAGGTAAGTATATGCAATTCAAGAGAAATAAACGCAGACGATATGTCCCTAGAAAAATCTACGGATAAACTTCGTATAACCTACGAAGAAAGGTCTTGCATCGTGAATCTCTTCCCGCTACTGCTCAGAGTCACCGTTTACACATAATGAATTTCTTGATAGAGATTTCTCTCATACAGTAGCGGTTCTTGAAACTTGGCAACATTTTGCTCCATCTAAATCCATTAAAAATATCGATTTTAGGTGGATCAAGCTGCCTCACCGAGAATCGACTATTTTACCTACGTTTGAATTGGAGGAAAAACAATGTTGCCAATGCTCTCATAAGGAAAGCTTTTATAGTTACATAGGTACTACAATTTTCTGATTAAATGGTAAAACTAGTAAGTGTAGGTAGATAATAAATACAAAATTAAAATGCGAATACTAGTCACACTTCAATTTATGTATGCAAAATCACAATCGCGGTCTTGGAGGAGGCACACTCCATTTTATGTAATACGAAAAAATTACAATTTTCCACTTCATAATGTAACAGCACACCTTCGCTCAGCCTGACTCTCGTCAGGCTAAATTCATTTCATCGTGTAAAAAATCAGATCATTGCGTAATTTCTACTTCTGAGTTTGAATTAAATGTTCTGATACTCTTGTGCAATTTGACTAAATATTTTCTTCTAGGGTAGTCATAAAATACATTTTGAAAACGGCAGTTTTATACAATTGTTTTTAAGAATTTTAATTACAGTCATTCTCTTAAAGCGCCAGAGGAGTATACTATTTGAACGCCAGAATGTAGAGCAGGAATCTTCAATAGATGGATGGATGGAAATTTTCAGCATTCTCCTCAGCGCTACCTTGAAATGATTGGAATTTAAACAAGCTGGAGGGTCTTCCTTCAGTCGAATCTTGGACTCCCAGTTCGTAATCCTCTGATTAAACTGAACGGTTCGCAAACATGACACGACATTTTTCTGATTCTCATTTACAAAGTTACATTATTAAGTTCAATCTGTTATTTTAAGTGCTCTTGCTGTATAAAATAAGATAAAATGCTGTGTAGAATAAATACATCCTTTTTTAACTACTCGAGATCAATATGCGTATTTTTCTGACATTACCCCAAAACCTCACGGTGGAGAAATTTGCCTTTTTTTGGGTGGTTTATTATTTTTGGTTTTGTTTAACAACCGAATCGGTTTTGCTTGGCTGACCTAACAAAAAGAAAACCATCCTAAAGTAACCATTAACACAGAAATATCTAACCGTGCACGCAAAATTATGGAGTGACATTTTTAACCAATGTTCATAATTGTTTCAAGAAGCTGTATGAATCAAAAACAGAAAATCGGCATTTTCAACCCCGCATAGTTGCCCTTTTGTACTGAAAGATTTGAGTTTCCACTCTAGAAACCTTTTTGTCTGATTTCATCGCAACTCTATGAAGAAAAAGAGGGAATCAGGTTTTCAATGATACTTTAATCGTATTCGTTATATGCTGTGCTTAAATTTTCATCTCGTCGAAGGATTTTTTATGGTGAATTGAAAAAGAAGCTTTGGAGAAATATTTCAACGATTACTGGGTATGCAAACGCACCTGGGTTTAAAAGACGGATGGGGGAGGGGGAGGGGGCGGAGCATTGTGAGAAAATTTCGGCGGCCCAGCGAGGCGCGGGTAGGCAGAAAGCGGGAAAGGAGTAAACGGTGGATGGTGGCGGAAGGAGGAAGCACCGAACACCGAAGAGTTTCGCACGAGTGTGTGATTGCATTAGTTACCGCTTTTGATTGTTGCTCGGCACGCAACAGTCAACAGAGCCGCACCGGTAATGGGGGATTTGTCAAGCTTAATCGAAGCGCCGCTCGGTGCCGAGTTGTGCTGGTATGCTTTTCACTAGAGCCCCATCGCTCACATGTTTCCATATTCAAGCGATTTTCCATGTTCTCCCCGGCTAAATATAGACGCTACTAGTCACACGTCCTGGCAGATATCAAATATCGACGGTGAAACTACCAAACCACGTATCTCGGTTTGCGACGTCGCAGACTTCCTGTCATACTTTATTTTTTAAATGAAAAGATACTTAACGTCCAGTCTTGAAAATTTCCGTGATTTTTCCTCTTCGTGCGGAGAAAATTCTGTGAAAATTTCAAGGAATGATATTGATTTTGTCTACTTCAAAAAAATAAAATGTGAGCGGAGATTTTTAAACACCGCAAACGAGATACGTGGTTTGGTAGTTTCACCGTCGATATTCTATATGGGCCGTCTATATAAAGCAAACGATTCAATGGGAATAGGTCGGTTATGCTGCTCACAGAATCGTATTTTGAAGTCTGATTCTTAAGGAGCACTAAAAATAATAAGATCCTTCCAAACAGAGCAACTTTCTATGTTAAATATTAACGCGATATCGCGCTTTGAAAAATGTGTTTTATGACGTCATCCACCGCGGCAGTGATACCCTTGGTTTCTTCCTCTTTGCTTTCATTTGAATTTTATCTTGAGTAAACAATGCAAATGCGTGTATCACTGGCAGATGAGAGCAAGGTGGAATGAGTGAAGGGTGTCACTACCGCGGTGTATGACGTCATAAACCGAATTATTCAAAGCGCAATATCTCGATTAATACTGGACGAGGAGAGTTGTTGTTTGAACAGATCTTATTATTTGTAACTGATCTACAAAATCAGCATCAAAAACAATTTTTTAACCAGCGCAACTGGTCTATTGGGTATCTTAGCCTGCGTTGTTGGTGGTTAAAGGGAAAAGAGTTTAAAGCTGCATCACACAACGCTGAGATGGGTTTTTCGGAAAACTACGAGGAGTCATCGCAGTTAGAAATGGGGTTCGGAAGTCAGAATATTCAAATCTGAGAAATTAACTTTGGAAGGTAATCAGCGAAGCATTGAGTTTGAGGATAGGCAGTAAATCAAAGGCTGTGCAAACTGTATGCACTTGGGTATGCAGTTAACCCAGGATGGTAGGATTGATCAAGCTATTGAGAAAGGAAACACCTGAGCAAAGAAGGCTATAGCTATGTTAAATAGAATCCTCTGAAATAAACAAATTTCGGGAGAAAAAAACAAGAGGAGAATTTACAACGCTCTGGTGAAAAGTATTTTGACTTATGGATGTGAAGTTTGGCAGCTAAAGAAACGGACGTAGAAAATGCTAAGAGTGACGATGGGTTTCTGGAGGAGGTCGGCAGGAATTTCTGTAGGAGATCAGGTCCGTAATGATAATGCGTAAATCATGTATAGGTCAAATATGACATCGTAATTGACGTCATGGCCAAACAGCTTGTCCGGTATGGTCATGTCAACAGGATGATGAAGGAAAGGCTGCTGAAGAAGATGCTTGATTAGGTTCATCCTGGAAAAAGACGAGGGGGACGCCTCGTGAAAGGGTGGTGACAGGGTGCTTTAAATGAAATGAGGGAGTGCCAATAGGAGGACAGAGCATTGCGGCGGTTACACGTTACACAGCGCCATAGAGCGCTGTGAAAGCGGCTATGTAGTATGTTTGTAAGTCGACGCATGGTGGTAATTTTTCAATCAAAATTTATAGCAAAATGCCATAACGATTGCCGTTGTAAAACACCGTCGAAGATCGATCGCACTTCCTGTTTCTCCCACTGCGCAGTTATTTACCTAGCGCAAATAAATTCTGAAAACAGACGAACTTGATTTTATCTTTTTTTAAGTGCGCGAAAGGTAGCGGCGGTGCGGTTTACTGTAAGCGAAATGATGATACAACTATTCGACCTCCTAGGAGCTCGTTTTGCCTACACTGCGAGTTGAAGGCGATTCTGTCTTGAACTCGCTCACAAGCCTTTAAACGAAGCAACCTTCAGGGCTGGTGTCATATATCGTTCTTTTAACACATTATCGATGTCGCCGATCAATAGTCATTTTAAAAAAAACTAGGCGCTACTCTCCCTGACCGCTTCGCAGTCCAACCTCCCAAAGTGCTTCGCGCCTCGAGTGTTATGCGTTATTCGTATAATTTATATTATAGAGGTAAATTAAAAATAATGATCTCGGTACATAAATTTTTACTACATTTTATTATTTCCAAAGTAGATCAAGGAACGACTGCGCCTAATACGAGATCTGAAAAGATAATCTCGGGATGTAACCACGGAAAAAGTCAGAGGCGAGATGGATTGTCAAAAAAGTTACTCGAGGAAAATTGGACATATTAAAAAGGTTTTTAAGTTGTATCATTTAAATAATGTGTTGTTAATTTTGTTTAATTATCCTTTTGATTCCGTTTAAATACTTGATTTTCAATAATTTTTCTTCATGCCAAACTAATCTGAGGAACGAGAAAGTCACATCTCATGGAGACGGTAACTGCGAAAAATCCCCGAAGTTTCATTCCCGTGATTCGGCCCTGAGACAAATCTCATGGAAACGTCTCGCGGAGACAGGGCCTTAAATTAATGATGGACTTGATTACTTTACGGATACAGCTGATAAAACTGAGATCAATAAATCGAAAGCATTCTCTGTTATAGACACGTCTATAGACAGATACTACTACCAGTCTTTAAACACTGGTCGTCATTGAATTAAGAAACTGAGCCTGCAGATAAAACTTTTATCTTTATGCATGCATCTATCTTTCATATTTTATCAATAAAATACAATTTTTTTACACACAATAGACAATCTTGAGTACAGCTTGGTTCCAAAAATTTTAACTCTAAAAACAAAAACAAAAAAAGCGAACAGTAAAAACTGAATTCACCCGAAAATGTTTGATGAATGGAAAATTATTTTGGCACTTGGTATTAAGTTTTCACAAGAGCCTTGTAGCTAAAAATTGAAACTGTTCGGTCTTTTAATGGTATAATGTGTGCGTTTTGAGGCTTAAAATTGAAAATTGTTTTTTCACAAGTAAGAATTTACGCCAATCTTTTTCAATGTAATTTGTTTTTATGAATGTTTAAATTCTATGTCTTTATGAAACAACTGGGTATGACCTTTTAAAACGTTTCATCTCCGAAAAAATGGAATTTTTATCATTCCAAACCTTGCCGCTTCTGAAGCAAAACATTCAATTAAGGTACATACTTTTTAAACAAACGAGAATTTACGCCCATCTTTTTCTATTTAATTTTAATTTTAATAAATAAAAACAAATGGGTATGACCTTTAAAATATTTTTTCTCTGATGAAACGGAATTTTCAACATTCCAAATCGCGCCGCTTCCGAAGCAAAACATTCAATTAACGTATGGAGATCAACTTCAGTAGAACAAACATACAAATATTTTTGCGTAGAAAGCAACGGTGCGAACGAGATCATACTCCGATTTTCAGGCGGCACTGAAAGTTTAATGTTCAACTCGCCCGGCATGTAAAAATAAATGGAGGTTTGTGCGGAGATAAAATTACGCCCAGGCGAGTCTTCCTCTTTGACAGTTTCTTTAATTGAATGACCTGAATAAATGGACTTTCAAAGTGTTCCTAAATTTATCTCGGCCGGATTTGACCTAAAAATGCGGGAAGCGCGGCAACTCGAAAACAAGGCAGAATCCGAGCTCTGCGCGCTAACGCCACAGCCGTGGTCGCGCGCCGTCTCCATTATTTTATTAATGAACAAAATGGCTTCGCCGAGAGCGGGGTACGTTGCGTAAAGAAAACTTGAGGTCTTTTCACTCTCTGTCTTCCTGTCCTTTCTCGGCTGCCTTTGTACTCTCTTCCCGCTAATTCAGTCTTGGTCCCCACCAAAACCTTAAAAAATGGTCCGCAAGCAGAAACTGCGAGTGTTTTGTATTTTATGAGATTTAACTTCTCCCCAGGCCACATTAACCCTGGCCGAACAGACTTGGATTGTAAGACGCCTCACTTAAGTCAGATGAGGACTCATTACAAATTAGGAGAAAAGGAGAAAGGGGAAAGAGAGAAAGGAAGGGAGTAGTAGTAGTAGAGTACATTTATTTTGAGCGGTGTCTTAACAGTCAGCATCTTCAGCGCCTTTACATCGCAATATTGAAATAACAAACTTTTTTTTTCAACTAAAAAAGTAACAGATACCTTGAATACTTACTGGACAGAAATATACGAAAAGTAAAGGATCAAAG